CTTCTCTGGTGTTCACAAGTAGATGATACAAGTGATATACTTGCCTAGTTTGCACATCAGCTCCTCTCCCCATGAACAGGCTGGTGCCATTTTTGTTTTTAACTGGAGGAAGGCAGTAGTTCTTGCTTCTCTTCACATTGCTGTTCTGTTTATTGATGCCACTAGAAGGGTCAGCTGCTCAGTTCAGGGTCAGCTCGTGCTCCTGTTTTGGTCCGTTCAAACCTTTTTCATTATTTCTCTGCAAAGTGGTCTGGTACTGATTTGATACCAAAGGGAACACGAGCTCTTGGAGCACTCAAAGCAGGGAGAGCCCAAAGGTGTCGGTGCACATCTGTGTAGGTATAGAGCAACTGTGATTTAACACCATAGAGTCATTTGGTGCGCTGAGCTCACTCAAGCCTTTCCAAATGGTTGGTTACTGCTTACTGAGAGCCCACAGTTTGGAAGGCTCACTAAGTGAGCCATATTCACAGTGCTGATTTCTCACCTCAGCAAGAAGCAAAGAGGCAACGGCAGAGAGTTAGACCAGTGCTGAATGCTTTTGACCCCCTGCACACGCAGGCGTCCATGTGCACACCAGATGCACCGTCCTTCCCTACAATCCACCTCTGCCACCAATAGCTGCAATGAGTGCTCTGGTGCAAGGCAAGGTATTCGGCAGTAGGCAGATATGAGTCATCTCACCTGCTGAAACTTCTTCCCAGCATCGAGTCACGCAAGCTCTGAGACAGGAAGGTCTGGGTCCCCATCAATTTTGGGCATTAATAAAGTCAATACTAAAAATCTGGCAGGTGGAACTCATGCTGGCACCTCATTTTTAACTCCTCTGAACTGTCCCGGTCTTCGTGTCACCAAGGCTATGTGTTCTTTTTAATGGGGCTTTCATAAACCTTGTTCCAGGAATGAAAACAGCTGCCAGCGCATGCAGCACCCCAGGGAAGACCCTCGCCTTTTTCCCCGAGCACATGAACGGAGCAGGGCTCCCCAGCTGCTTTGTGTGCTTGATATGAAGCTGTGATGTTTGCGAGGGACTGAAGCATGAACTGCCCTGCTAACGCTGGCAGGTGTGAGTAACAAAGGAGGAGGAAAAGGCTGATAATCAAAGAAAAAGAAAATAGCAAAAAGATAAACCCTCCTGAGCAGGCAGTGCGAGAAAGTATTAATGGTTAACTCTCTCTCATTGTGGAGTAGGAGGAAAAAATGCAAAGAGAAGTTTACCTTGCAAAGCAAATTTGTCATTCACTTTGCCAGATTATCGTTGTTATTATTTGCTCTTCACTCTTTGAACGATAAAGACAAAAGCGTGCAAATGACCCTCAACTACAAGCATAACCCTCTGCCCACAACCTCCCTGCCTGCATCCTTGCACACACAAAAAGGAGGATGCTAAACACAGCCTTTGAAATTCAGGAGGATAATTGATTCTCTGACGCGTAGAAGCCCACAGGACTCCTGAGGGAGCACAGGTATAAAAAGAGGAGATGCACCTCCCTGGCAGCCAGAGGACAGCTGGAGGGAGATCCGAGAGTGTCTTCCCCGCTCAGCACGCGTCCCGTGTCCTGCCCAGGCACTGCGCGGAGGGGACAGACCCAGCAGGGCTCACAGAAGCAGCTCTAGAGAATAAGAAGTTTTATTTGCAACAGGGAAAGAAGACACCTGAGCAGGAGGCGATCTAGGAAGCGCTTGTTTTCTAAGGGAACGGTAAGTGCAAGTCTCTGTATATGCATTTAACAAGATAACGTCTATCTGGAAATTTGAGACAATTAAATTACACCGAAATGCAATCAAAGCTGGCATCAGTAATTAGCTTTGCCAGGTACAATATCCTTTGTACCATACAAGATCTTTTGGTACCAAGTTATAGAATGAAATAATAATTGAACTATAGGATAAATGCAAATCAATAGAATTATAATACAGACGAGCCTTGTAAAAACACGTTAGACATTTATTAGCTGTAGCACAGTTTTCCTCTTTTGCTATACCGATGCAAGTCCCTTTTACCCTAGAAAATGAATGCCGTTTTACTTACCCATCAGTAAAACTGTGTTTGAGCCAAACCAAAGTGTGAGGAGAAACACAACGGTGTGTTATAGATAACGCAAAGCCAGCTACAACGAGGCAGAGTAAGGCACTTAAAAGGATTTCTGCTTTTCTAATGTAGTATTTCATTGTATAAAAGTCTGAACTTTATAAAACCGCAGGCACAGTAAAAGCTTCATTTCATCTACATAGTGGTATTTTTAAGACTGATCGGGTTAAGGTTTCAGAAACAGTAAGAGATAGTTACCCCATCTCTCCAACATCATTGTCACAATGCTGCTGTTAGCGTTGCACAGGATGGAACGAAGCTATTATGCTTTATCTGCTGGAATGGCGCTAAAAGCTTTTCATCTTAAGGGGAATTTATTTATTAATAATTTTTTCACATGCTCCCAGAATGGAAAGTAAGATGTCCCTCACCTCGGGAGAATTTCGAAGGTGACAAGGTTTTGCAGAGCTGTCAGGCTGCCTGTATGCAGGGTGAGACTTCAATTCCCCGGCTTCTCCTCCGAAATAGCAGACACTTCTGGGAAGGGGTTAGGACTTCCATTTCAGACTCCTTCCCGAGGGAAAAGGAGACAGAAGTGCCCCAAAAGCTGGGCTGAGAAGCAGACTGTAGTTAAGGGACAGAAGACAAAGCAAGACAGGGGAAGAAAGCCAGAAACAAACGAGAAAAAAAGAAAAAAACACTGCAAAGAAACTAATAGTAGAGAAAGAAAAAAAAATAAATCTCAAAGGGACAAAATAGTGATTCTGGAGAAAACCCCAGCATTCAAAGAAGAGAAACCAGATACAGAAAGTGGTAATCAGGGCTGTATCCTAGGAAGAAAAAGGAAGCACACAACATTTGGCTAGGTTTTCTTTTACATTGGTATTTCACTTCTCAGCTCACATAGCAGCTTTCCTGGTACTGACTAAATCTGGTTGGCACTCCCTATAGATGCTGGTGCCACAGTCTCCTGGTACCCTCTGACAGATGCTTTAGATAATTTCCTCTGTCTAGAAAGATCTGATTGGGGATTTGTCTTGGAGATATTTAGGGGAGAGGCACAAACAGGGAATGCTTTTTCAAGTTTAAATGAAAAAGGGGGGGGAGAAAAAGGCAGGAAATTTGCTCTAAAACCAGAAGCCCTGTAAGTCTTTCTCAAAGTCACTTTTTTGCTTCTTCTGAGCATTCCTCGACTCTCTGAGGGGTCCGTGCGATTCCGTAAGAGACCAGGTATTGGAGGCAGGGGATGCCACCCATAAGTTCACAAGAAGCTCTGCCGGAGCCAGGAGCATCAGCGCTGCTCCCAGGGGAACAGATGAGGAAGCTGCTGGTCCCCCAGCTGGGAACATGAGCAGCTGGAAACAGGGACCAGGCTGAGAATGAATGTGTGATTAAAAAAACCATTTCTTAGTGCACTGCCTTTTCCCATGTCTGCCCGTCCACTTGTGACACTGCCACTAATTCTGTTATTTGCTTCCGCGGTATCAAGATTGGACCCACTTGCACGAGCATCGGTTCTTAATTAGCTTCCCCCCCAGTATTTTGATCTGTTTTCAGGACAGTGGGCAGCTATGTCCGAGCAGAAAACCAGAGCTCACTGCTGATGTTTCCCATCAGAATGGGCCCTCTCCTGCCATGATCATCTGTAAAAACCACTGCTCAGAAAGTTTGCTTGGGAAATTAGAAGCCCAACCTTTCCATTTGGAAACTGCACTTTGCAAAAAAGTATTATTATACATTTGAAAAGTGGTTTTAAAAAAAAAAAAATCTAGAGGGTTTTTTTTTCCTTTTCCAGAGATCAAACATCTTTCTGCTCTTTTCTTGTCTAAAATAAGACAGGGAACAGGCAAACTTGGTTATTTTAAAGATTTCTATCACATTCTTAAAGAATCTTTTTTGAGCAATAGATCAATCGCTTTCAACCAAAACTTAGGAAGAGCCTTCACTGAAATACCTTCCTACTGTCCCTCACTTCCAATGACAAAAACATTGCATTCAGCTCCCGAGGGTGTGCGACCTCAGACGACTCAGTCCTGAGCCATTCGCAGCACTTCAGCCAGCCCCAGGACACGATGCTCAGCAGCCGTCTGTCAGAGGGCAGACACACACGGCTCAGGTCCATCGCACCTTCTACCCAAGCTGGTGCTCAGAGCTGCGCAGGGGCTCCTCTCGACACAGCGGCAGTTCAGCTCTCCCAAAGGGATGTCTTTTGGTTCAGCCCCCCCTCTCCCCAGGCACAAGAACTGAAGGAGCAGTTTGTGTTTTGTTCAGCTAACCAAGCTCAGCACTGTTGCCTTTGATAAATGGGTTTGCCAGGGTTACCTCCAGGCCAGCATTACCCCTCTGCCCAGGAATTTTATTTGGATTTCCCTGTTTCTCCCTGATCTCTGGACAGCCAGCAAGGCAGTCCAATCAGCTGTTATGCACAGACCCGTGCCGTACAGCCATGTGGGCAGACACACGTCCCCGGCAGAGCAGAGGGCAGGAGAGGTCCCAGGGGCCAGTCACAGATGGTCCTGCGCAGGCAGAGGCTGCTTTTGGCAACCCCTGCTAACTGCTGCCCTGCGGCATCCAGGTGTTCTTCCACTGGAATTTACAGCCCGTGCAGTGGTCCCCAGGGCTATCCCAGGCTGAGAACTCTCCTTCAACCACCGCAGGGGGACAGGTTAATAAGGAGGTCCCACAATGTGAAACCCTCCTGATCAGCCCTGCCTCTGGACCCAAGGGACACACCAGCTCCCTGAGGGGTCACACACAGCCACTGCACGCCCTAGCAAAGACTTTGCCACGTCAAGACATCTCTGCATTGGGAAGCACCATAACCATAAACGCAGAGGCACGCTTCCAGTCCCTTTGTGCCAATGACCGAGCAGGGGGACCGGGAACACAAAGGCGGCACTTGGCCTCCCCTCCTGGCCCTGAGCATCTCACTGCCACTGACTCAGACTGCTCTGCTTTTCAGGTGTCCCCAAAGAGTGGAAGATGCTGGATAAGGCCACTCTGCTCCTCTTCCTGCATTTAGTTGCATGCTCCATCTCCTCTCCTCTCTACCCAGCTCTCAGGTAAGCTAATGAATGTTTTATCCACGCTGTCGCTCCCTGCCCATCTCTGACCTTGTGCAAAATAAGCACGTGCCAAATTAAGCTTGCCAGCACTTCTGAGAGCCAGATGGACTGTTTGTGAGTTGGTAAGCCTATTTCCTTACCCATTTTTTTGGGTACACCGCTAGCCTAGGGGCGGTTTCCAAAGAAGGCAGGCACCTGACATGGAAGATTTCAGCCCAAGCAGTTGGTTTTGGAATTGAATGCGTGGTCCTATAAAGGGAAATCTGGCAGTCTCCAAAGCAGGCAGCACCTCCAGCTCCATCACTGATTAAAATTTGTGCCTGTAGGCTACCTGCATTGAAATCAGAACTGCAGGTATTTTAGTACATGAACTTAGCAGCTGCCTATTAATATTTTCAAGTATTTCCTTGCTGACTGTTATAAGTTGTAATATTACTTCCTACCTCTACAAATCAATGGAAGCACAAAATTGAGCGCTGGGTTCTATAATCTGGATTCGCAATGTCCCATAGAAAATGCTTTTGACTTGTGCCAAAGCCATGGCATAACAATACCAGAATTACTGGAATTTTGCTCAAGGACACTGGGAGCTCAGGGAGGGGAAAGTGTGTTTGAGGCAGCTCTATCAACCATCTTTTCACTGCTGAAATAGCTTCAGGGCAGTTTCTAGCTGGGGAGAATGATGGACAACACTTGTGTTACTGATGAGATGGGCATGGCAAAAGGAGAAAGAAAAAGCAGGAGAACAGGGAGTAGTGATCAAGAAGACTGATCCCTGACTTGCAATTGAGCACGTCTCGCAGTATGCCTTGGGTTTGTCTTGCAGGTACAGCCCAGGGCCAGTTGCTGGCAAGGCCGTGAACTTCCAGCTACAGCACAGCCGCCCATTGCAGAGCCATAACCCCTCGGCGGAAGATCAAGATGAGGAGGGTTTGTTAACAGACCCCACTGAGAAAAGGTTTGTACCTCACCTCTCAGCCCTGCTGCAGTAAAAGTATGCTGATTACGATCTTCCCCCAGCCCAGGAACAGACCAGCAGGTCACTTAGTCCCACCAGCACCACAAAGTGCAGGTTCCAGAGGGAGAACTCAGCCGAGCCCTGCAACCGCAGCAGAAGCCTGGGACTGTCAGCTCTCACCATCACCCATGTTCAGAGCTGTCCCGCAGCAGCAGGGAGGCACTGACAAGTGCAGGGTCACACACCCAGCACTCCTGCCAGGAACAGTTTTCCACCTAGCTCTGGGAATCCATCTGTACTGTTGTTAGAGCCTCTCCTTTCCACCCCTGCCAGGAGATGAAGGATGGTCATCTCTGTCTGAAGCAGAGGATTCATCCTTACAACAGTGGGACCACCCAAGCAGCTTGTGCTTCCCTTACCTGTGGATTTTTGGGAGCCTGGGTTTAACCACAGTCTAACGACCTGCTGGAGGCTCCTGCCATCCCATCCCAGACACAGCCCTCCCAGGAGATGACAGTGCTGCTGCAGAGCACAGGAATGTCACAGCTCCAGCTTTGCCCTCTCCCAACCTGTGGTTCTCCTCCTTTCCACTGGTTCTCTGACCCATTTGGTCTGCAGGCAGTTCTCCTTATTTGTTTTAGTGTGGATACTGATTAACAGACATTTTATTTTGCATGCTGCCTCCACGTAAGGACTGAGCTCCCTCAAATCCTTTTACCCTTCAACACTGATGCAGTCCGATACCAAAAGGCATTTGCTGTGCTTTCCTGCCCTTGATCTCAGCAGTGCTACATCTGGTGTATTTTGCCATCTGAAACACCCCTTTCTCTCCTGGAAGGTTCACTGCTAGCTCAGAGAGTACACCTTGTCCTTGTCTTTCACCCCTAGGATGCAGCGCCATGCTGATGCCATATTCACCGACAACTACCGGAAATTCCTGGGGCAGATTTCCGCCCGCAAATTCCTACAGACCATCATTGGCAAGCGGCTTGGGTAAGCCACAGCGCTTTGCTGTCCTAGGGCTAATGTTTTGCTTGTTACACTGGGCAGTTTCTTTCATGCATGTAGCAGAAATAGCTGCCTTCCACTGCAACAGAAGCAACCTCTCCTGCTGTTCCACATCCCAAAGGCCATCCCGCATCCCTATATCTCGGATCCCCCTAATCACAACGATCATTAAGCAGTCTAATTAATCCTTTCCTCCCAGGCTATAGGCATCAGATCAGCTGAGAGCTCTGCCGTAATATCAACAAGCAGTAAGATTTGCAAATAGTAGTTGCAATGATTGTTCACTGGTAGGAAAATTATCCCTGTTTGAACACAGAAAGCAGCCCATCCACCACCACTCAGGTAGCTTTGGCTAGATACATTAGTGACTGCCACTAAATAAGACCAACTAGTCAGATGCGAGCCAGCTGAAATCCCTTCTCTAAGACAGGAGCAAATACAGCTGATCAATTTCTTACTGAAATTAAGCGCAACAGCCCTAGGCTCAGACCCAGCGGGTTCCCTTGCTGTGCTGCTCAGCCTGAGCCGAACTGAGCGAGGGACTAAAAAGCATCTCTGAAACAAAGATGTTTCTCATCTTTGCATAATAGAAGCAGTGAGAACAACCCAGGAGAAGGCGTGCATGAATTTCTGACAAGGCGCCAGTCTGACAGCATCCTGATGGACAGCCGCTACCACCAACAGATGGTACTAAGGGACTTCCTGGGAGCCATGCTGCAGAATCAAAGGTAGGTGGGAATCAGTTCATTATCCGCTCACCGCAGGAATAAGACAAGACAATATTGCTGTCTGGCTTCCAGATGTGAAGCTACTGGATTAAGTATCATCTTTCAGGTATGCTCAGGGAAAGAATGAATCTCTTACCTGACCCCATAACCCAGCCCTTCCCTTACGCAGGCAAGTAGGGTGCAGGTAAGGAACAGCCTGTCCTGAGCCAGCCCACACCACACACAGCACCATATCATTGTGCTGTCTTCTCAACGCCATAATTCAGTAAAACAGCAGTGGAAAAAAAAGAATTTCTCTCTCAATCCCAACTATGCCATCACTGCCCTATTCTCTTCTTTCACAGGCCTCAGGACATCAACAGCAGTCGGCTAGAAGGTTTGCCCAGCACCTTGGCTAAGCTCATGTAAATAGTTCTCCCTTTTTCATCTCCCCATGCTCTGGTGAGTACCATTTCCCACTAAATTCTGTACATAACACACTGCTGCTGCACTGCTTAAGCAGTTTGAAGGCTTTCCTTCAGCACAGTCAGCTCCCACTGCTGTCCATGAAAAGGGGCACTTGCTGTGATTTAAGGGGGAAAAACTCCCAATCAATTTTGTCAAGTACCTAAAGTCCTGTTAGCCTGAACAGATAGACCATGAGTGTTGTGAAGCTGCATGTGGATGTCTGGGAACAGGCTTGCAGCACCAAAAGCAGCCCTGTAAAGCTACCTGAGATGGTGTGCCTGAGTGTCTGAGCTAGGCTAAAGGCAGACAAAGTCCCTCAAGAGCAGAACCTGCCTCTAGATCCCTGGGACATTTCAGTTTTTCTCTGCACTGAACCAGAGAGGAGGTGTTACTGTTTTCTGTACCCCTCACTCCTGAAAGTAGTCACCTGGAACTTGAATTACTCTTTAAATCTTGCCAGCCCTGGAGGACTGACAGCCAGCAGACAGTCCATCCTTGGGAATACCTTCACTTGTACAAATGTCAGTTGCCCTGTTTGAAGCAACCTCATCTTACTCCTCTGTCCGGTAGAAACCAAGCCTGTCCAGCCCTAGCCGACACAGTATAAAGGGGTGTGGAGAGACCTGTGTGCATACTAAACAAAAAGGGGCTGGGGAGGGGAGGGAAGACCAGAACTACATAAATCATGCCTGTGGATTCAGCTGGGAGAGTGTGGCATTTCAGCATCTCTCTTGCCATGCTGACTTCATTACCTTTTCACAAATAGGGTGAGCTAGGAAAAGCCTCCAAAGAATGAAAAAACTTCTATGTGCCCTCACAAAGTTTTCTTATAATTCTCTTTTCCTCCTGCTTCTGTCTAGAATGATTCAGAGCTCGTGGATCTAACTGTACAGTAAGCCCTTCACAGCAATGAAGACATTCCCGGATGTGACCAGCTGGAAACTGATGCATACACTCCTCAGATCTGTTCAAAGGAACACAGTTCTAATCCACCACTTAATTGACTTCAGTCTTTACAATTTAACACCCCTTTCTAAATACTGGTGTGTGTACTGAATCAGGAAAAAAAATACCTCTGTGGTTTAACCTCAGGCTGCTTTACATACAAAGATAAAACAACCAGTACACTTGTAATCCTGGGGACATACTGTCTACTAATTAAAGCTTTCAAATCACGAAGCATAGCAAAATTTCTGCCAAGTCATCATTCTATTTGAGGGCCTGATTAATAAACATGAGGCCACCAAAAGGCACCTTTAGGCAACTCAGTAAATTGATTACAGCCTCCTCTAAATAGATGCTGATGGCACAACCACACACAGAGCTCAGATCTGGGTGAGGTAAGACATGAATCCACACGTCTACCACCCATTAGAAATGCCACTGTGGGCTGCTGCTGTCTAGTTCCTCGATACAGAGCCCTGGCAGCAAAACTGAATGCTAAAAAGCTCAGCTACAGTTACTGCTCAGCCTTGAGGTGTTCAAACTGAAGCTACAGCTCTGCTCTGCAAGAGTTAAAGGAGATCCCTGTGCATCAGATTGCGCTGTCACTATGTTTTAATTCAACGTGCCTCCAGTGGCTCTGAACTCCACCGTGGCTAGAGTTACAACTGTAAATGTTTTCAGAGAAGTAATTTATTAAGCCAGTGATCTCATACAGCTACTTCCTTCCCTATCACCCCAATTCTCCTATTGTTTGTGTAATAATTATGTCTTCAGAAATGTAAATAACATCAGGATGGGGTCTGCTTTCCCATCGTCAGCGGGGAAATAAAAGTTGTTCTAAATAAACCTGTCCAACAGCAGGTCAAGATGGCTCTTTGTCTGTTGAGATGTTAGTTTCTTGATTCTGGGCCCAGAATGAAAGATGTCACTCAAAGACAGCAGTAAAGTGCACAGAGGACGACTCAGAGCTGTGCTAACAAAGGCACGAGGTCCAGCACCAATAACTCAAGACCAGGTTGGAAACACAGTGGCAAGCAAATACACATTAAGGGCTCCGAAATCATCCCTCCTTGCACCCGAACAATTCCTTGATAGTCTGCAGTAGATACCATCTCATTTTTCTATGGGTGACCATGTTTTAGGATGGCAGGTTCCAGCACGCATGGAAATGAGTTCATACTTACACCAAATCCCTATAGATTCCATTCTTTCTGATCACATTTTACAATTCTAGCACTATGAAAATATTACTAACTGCCCAGCAGGATTGGAAGCAACGAGGGGATGTTGAGGGAGATCAGTGAAGCTGTGGCAGCAGCAAGCGCACTAATGGGTAATGTGTTACCCTTGCGCACGGTGGCAGCTGTCACAGCCAGACATAAGCCATCCTTCTGCTTCACGGTACAGCTGGACAGAGAACCCGCACAAGAAAAAAACACCTGAGTGGACCTGGTTAAAAATGTGTTTGCACACCTGTCCTGTAACAACTAAGACAGCTGAAGCCATTAGGACTTACTTGCTCCAAGAAACCGAATTATATAAAAAAAAAAAAAAAGCAGCTTCCTAAAGTAGTAAGTAAATGTGGTAGCAAAAAAAAATTTAATTCTGTTAAGTGGCATAAAAGCTATATGCAAATACTCGATTGGATACTCCCAATAAAATCAAAAGACCTATCAAAAACACTTTGGAAAGACCTAAGTCTGCATGATCAAACAGCTGGGTGAGTGCAGCTATTTAGAATAAAAGGGACTCCTTTGAAAGTTCAGTTTGTGTCAAAATGAGGAAACAAATGCTCTAACTCTGGGAGATTAAATATAAAAACAAATTAAGCAAACCAGAAAATGTCTGAAGAACAAAAGGCCAAAAGAATAAAACCAACCTTTCCTAATGCATAGCCAAGGAGGTAGAAAATCAATAGCAACACACACAGCTTAGAGAAGAAACATCACAGTAGCACTCCATGGTTTTCTTTTTGCATCTGTACTCTCCTTGGATAATGTGCCAGAGCTCTACAGGCACAGGGAAAGTGCTGTCTTAGCATGAAGCATCAGTAAAAAAAAAATAATAATTATAAAACAAAGCTGATAAGCTTAATATTTTGTTACTGCTCACTTATAAAGAACTCACTGGATGAAAAAGAATTCCAGGGCAAAACACTACAAATAGTAACTTACATATTTCTTGCTTAAAACTCCTTTAGTCCCAGGGGACTTGAATGCAGCACAAGATCAGTTTTTTGAAGGAGTGCAGAGGAGGTCAAAGTAGTAGTTCATTAAACCTCTATGGCATCCAGTATAGTGCTCACAATGAACAAAGGGGTGGGAACTGTTACAAAGAACAGAAACAGTGAGCTAAGTGTGAACAACTGCAGTGGGGAAGCGGCAAGATGGCTTTTATAAAGTGGACTCATGTCTCACACATGTGAGGTTCTTTGGAGGATTTGGCTCCACACCCTTTATCCACATGCTTGCTGGTTGATATCATTTTCTTGGATCTCCAAAAGACATTGGATAAAGTTCCTTTGCCAAAAGGCTTTTAAAGAAACTAGTCTGACACGGGACAAACAGGAGCCAACACAGAGATGCACAGGAGGGAGCAACTGTTAAGCTTCCCATGTGGAAGTTGCTCATCAGGAGCTTTTGGCCTTTGATTATTACTATCGGTGTCACCATCAAAGCCCAAGTCTGCTTAGAGGTCAAATAACTCAAATGTGGCCACATGGCAACGAGCAGACTCCTGCCATTCTGTTTCATAGAAGAACAGAGACAATAACCTCAATCAAACTCATATTTGGAGTGAAAAGGTTACTTCCAGAGGCTGGAAAGAAAGTGAACCCACTCAAGGGACCCACCAAACCCACCAGGGCCAGACACACCAGCACCACTGCTGGCTCCTCGCGAGGGTCAGGCCCCCAGCACTCCTCCTGCCCAAGCTCCCTCCTGCCGGGCGCCATCCTGAAGTCAGAGAGAACAGCCGTCAGCGGAGAAATGCAGATGACCGCGTCACACAAGGGACAGGCAGGAGTGGGAAGTCCCCCCCAATAAACATGTCCCTCTGGGAAAGGACATGAAAGAACAGGAAGCTTCACACAGCAGTGACTCATACACAAAATTACCCACCAGAAAAAGCTCTTTTCATTCTCATGTGAGCCCAACTTCCAATCAGAGCCTCTGAGACAGCCAAAAAAACAAAATTCAGGACCATTCTTTCCTCTTTATTCACAAATCGTTTAGGATGAGGAGAGGGCACCTGGGGAAAGGCAGAATTATATTTTCTTCTTCCTCTTTTTCTAAAGGAAATTCAAATGTCCTGGGAGAAAAAGGAGGGGGGGGAAATCCACAGAAGAAAGGATTTTCTGGATTCGTATGAAAAGCACAAGTAGCATGAACACAACAATGAAAATCAGATTTTAAAAAAGTATAACTGGCACCCTTTTGACAATATAAAAAAAAAAAGTCTGCTTCTGCCTTCCTTCTTCAGGCCTTTCAGTTATTTATTCACTTCTGTTCTGAAGGCATTTGCTTTGTTTTTCCCCATTTCTTCTGTTCTTCTCGTACTAGTGTGTCCTGGAAAGAAAAACCCAAAAAATTAACTCTTCCAGCCAACAAAGCACTTCCTTGCCCAGTAAAAGTGTCCCCAGACCCCTAATTCTCTCTCAAAGGAAGTTTGTGAGAGTGATAAAACCAGTACTGCAGTGGAAGAGAGGACTGAATTCAAGGAGGATGGAAATGGTCAACAAAATGAAAGTTAATTTCTGATGCAAAAGGGATGAATGAGCCTTGTAAAATACAGAACAGAACAAAAAAGCAGGGCTGAAGGCAAAGCCTGCAGGTGCCTTACCCGCTCTTCTACTTTAAAAAGGGCCAATCGATCCACTTGGAATCAGCTGGTCCATGTAAACACAAAGAAAAGATCTTCACATCCCAAGAAAATGAAGTAGGTACAGCAGACCCACCTTTTTTGGGGGTGCCAAGACACCAAGATGCCAGACACCGGCGTAGCTACGGATGCTGAGCACTTGACAGTCCAGCCCTAGAAGCTGGTAACAATACAGTCTTGGCTGACATACCCGGGGCATCAGAAAACCCAACACTAAGGCCAAATGCTTGTAACTGCACACGGCAGCAAAACCTAACTTGCGGTTTGTGGATCGTAAGTTATTTGCAAGATCTTCCAGGATTACTCACAGTCCATGGGGAATTAAGGAGTTAAAATACCAGGCTGAGAAACAGAAAACATGCAAGCTGTGGAGAACACACTCATGAAGCGTTTGATTACAGGCCACTAAAACGCTGAAAACAACTGGCCCAAAGCTATGGTAAAAAGAAGCATCCAGGGAGCAGAACAGCACCAGCAAACACAGCTGGGATGCAGCCAGCATTCATTTAGCAGAACAAGCGACAGCCTTCTCCAGTTCCCCTCCAGTTCCTTGTCATAGCTTGTTCTGCGCTCAAATACCTCAAAACACTCCAGGGAAAGAAGAGATAGTAACAGGGTGTTTTTCTATGGGACATGATGCCAAATTCTCCGTAAGTAATCTTCACGAAACCATCTTCCATACTATCTGATCTGCAGACAGGAGCTTATACACAGCGCACATGGTTTCTGTGACACGGCCACCCATGCTGGTTCTGTTTCGCACCACAAGAACTGAGCTCCGTTCAACACACTCTGTGTGCGCGCCTGGAGCACTGACTACGAACATGAGAGAAAGCAGACGCTCACGAGATGTACCAGTGCAGCACGTTGTACAGTGACTTCAGTCTCATCACATGACTTGTCCCAGATGCTCTCTCCCTTCCCCAAAATAAAACATTGCACTGAAGGAGAAACGAAGCCACACACGCACATTCAGAATTGGGCAGCACGCAGAGTGGCAGGCAGTCCTGCCTCCTACGCCACTGTGGCTATCGCAGACTGGGACCGTACCTGCTCAGAATGCAAGGACATGAAGGGCTTTGCACTGGTAAATGATAATGGAGACCTATCAGATGATGGTATTGAATGGAGGGGGTTGGCTGCTGCTGACGCCGCTGACCGAGCCATCACGACCAGTTCAGTCTAATGGGAGGGTGAACCCTGGATTGGGTCGTGTTTTCAGCTGAATGAGGTGGTGCTGACCTCGCTCTGCTGCACACAGGGCTTTTGCCACCCCAAGTGAGGATATAATTCGGCAGTGAGAGCGCCTGGCAGCTGAAACGGCGCAGGTATCAGCCATTCTCCTCATGTTCTCCTCCAGCTGACATTACTAATAATTTCTTTACAGGAAAAATACTGCTTAAACTAGGTTTATTTCATCACTTGATAGCTGCTTCGTGCCCAAGACAGCATATTCACATGTGCACATTTTACCATACAGACTTCAAATGATTAAGGAAATCACACAAAGGGAATTTAGTCTCAGAGGACACATGCTGCTAATATGCAAACACAGCTTTAGTCAAGAACACACAAGGACTGACTTAAAGCCCAATAACCAATGTTGGAAGGAAGCAGCTTCAGCTCAGGTATCTTTTTTGTACAACGAGTGAGAGATGATGTGCAATGAAACAGGCAGCATGCCCAGGAAACGCGAATTCCAAAAAGGCCCTTACTTCTAGAAGAGCTGGTCACTAGCAAAACCCCCTTTTACCGCAGCGTTCTATACTTTGCCAACCTACTGCTCTGCTCTGCAGCGATCCTGCCAAAAGGAGAAAGGAAGAAAGGTTCAGAGAAGATACGAAGGAGGAAAGCAGCCCTGCTGCAGGAACAAGAGCCAGTGACAGCAACGCAAAAAGCAAAACCAGGCCTTCTGGTAACTTCTGTAAAAAGATGGTTTATACAGTCCCCTTCCCACGCCCGCCAGCTGCCTCCATAGTGGAACAGCAGCTTTGCCTCAAAGTGCAATCTAGTTAATTATCACTGCACTTCAACATCTGAGACAGGCTAGCAGCCCGCTAACAAAAAGATGTCTTTTTGAACTTTAAAGTCATGTACAAAGGGTTTAACTTTAGCCTAAGGTAGAAGTTTTACTTTCAAATTTGCCATTGTAGTTGCAGCTTCATGTCATTTACAGTGAAAAAGCATACAGACACCCCCTGCAGTGTTTTGAAGTAGGAACCAACCACCTGCATTTATGTGCTAACAGAAGACCTGGTTGAGCGAAGACACTTAGAAGTAAGCGTCATTGTATTCTTTTTTCCCCCCAAATCTGTATCCTAGGCAATCTGTAATTAATAATGATTTTATCATTACTCTTTAATTTAAAAAGGAAATATTGTTAAATGACATAACATAGCCCTGTTGGCAACAAAATCTCAGTAGGAACTGTTACGCTAACCAGAGAAAGCGCCACAGTGGAGACGGGTGGTCATCCAAGGGAGAAAGGCTGAGAAAGCTGGGAGGATGTTATGGAAAGGGTTAATTACGATAACCATCTCCCCTGCTACAGCCATGCAAGTAGAGATGTTTTAAAGACAACAAATCAATGCAAAAGCCCTGAAAATGGTATTTTTGTGGGTTTTGACACCTCTTGTCCTGGTTTTAATACAGTGTAATCAAAAAAGTGAGAACCCAGGGATATCTATGCAACTAGGTACGCAAGGATAAACAACTCCTAGTGGCTCAAAAAGGGGAAAGTAAGAAAAGCACAGGTTTGATGGCAAAGCAGGTCAGTAAGATCATCTTCAAAGCCAAAGTCTACATTAGCACAAAAGAGCTAAATTTTAAGTCTCACATGGAAACCCCATGTGGCAGAAGTGAAGGAGAGGGAATGGTTCGACCTCTAATTAACGCACTGTGTTGGAAGCCTGGGTCAGCAAACTGCCTGCAGGCTGCCTAAGCCACGGCACATTCACGAGACACCACGTGGCAGAAGACACAAGTGTGAAGAATCAGTCCAGTGCCAGTACAGAAATTAATGTTGTATCCCTTACATTTACCAGAGTTTTCCCTGGTTTTGCTCGCCCATGTTGCACTTGTTGCTGCACATCTCCGGTAAGTATCTGCTTCCCCTTTCTCTATGATCTCCCTTTAGGTAAGGGAAGACAGCAGTAAGACACCCCCACCTCACCTTCCTCCTCTTAAAACTTATTTCACAAGCACAGCTACAGAAAAGTTAGGCTCCTTCTACATTTATAGTGGCTTTCATTATCTATCAATATTGTAAGAGCTTGATCTATCATGCAGTAAAACACATTTGTCAGTGAATGCACCTCGCCAAATGTGGGTTTCCTCATTTCAAAACACACGTACCCTTTGCTTTCTCTGTGGGCCTGGTCACTTCAGCAAGCAGCCACGTGGACCATTCTCTCTGAAGGAGCAGTTAGCTGTGTCTCAGTGAGAGCAGCTCATTGCCCCAGTCAGTTCAAGCCCTTATTGTGAGAACAGGCATGAAAGAGGGACCAAGCAGCCCATCCCCACAGACAAGATCCAGGAACCAAAAGCAGTGTTCATTACTCTATCAGTTACTGGTATGACAGCATCAATGTGCTCTCCTCCCCACTGATTTTAAAAGCAGCTCCCACCAACGCATCCATCCCTGGCTTACCGTTTTACCGCTTTCTGAGCCAGCATCCTGTTGCCTGCCAGGAATGTGACGCCACCCAAAATGGCCAAGTACTTCAGAGTCTGGAACATGTTGAGCTGAGTCCAGTAGACATACATGAGTCCCAACATTGCTGTGAAAATAAGACAGAGCCCACAGCTGAAACTGCATTTCAAAGACCAACCATTTGTTATCCTCAGAACAATCGTTATGGTATACTGCCAGGCTTAAGCATTGGGTTTCTATCTCATCTTTAAAGCTCTGAAGTGGCAGACCTAAAGACTATACATTACTGCCAGGGGAAGGCGGCGTCTGGATCTCCATACTGGAGAAAAATGTGATGAGGTTGGAACCAACCCTCTTGTGGCAAAATTATGGATATACTAGAGACATTAATGGCTATTAAAAGGAGAAGGATACTCTGGATTTCAACAGACATTATTAAACTTTGCACATTTGTAGGAGCTTACAGCTTTACAAAGCTTCCAAGAAAACTGGCTTAGATTAAGCAAGGCACTATCATTTGGGAAACAGTAGATCCAGTGTTCTCCTAGCCTGCTATGTTTTTGAAATTCTGTCAAGACAGTAAATAACTGTGCAACTAAGGGTGCAATAAAATTGATGAAAAAAAATATTGGTCCAGCCAAAGAAAAAGAGCAGCTTTCACAGCTTTAAAGAAAAGATGTAAACCATAGTCCCGCAGGTTTCAATCCCCACAGAAACTCCCTGCTAACAAAGGATAAACACGCAATCAAGAAAGTGTGACCCCTAGAAATAAGAAGTTCTATTAAGTACAGTTAAATGGTGTGCGAGAAGAGCCCGGATAATGACCGCTGTTATAAGCTGATGGCCAAAACAGGTTTATCACCATATTAACAATCATGAAAAGCAGGAAGGCAGATGAAAACAAGAGAACAAATGTTATGCTATTATGTCATTACAGTTAATAGACCGCAAGCCCATTAACCGCCAGGGCTCTCATCTGTAACTCTCAGGTGAGGAGGTCAAATAAAGCAGAAAGCCTCCGACACTTACCAGCATGTCCCATGTGAAAAACAATGGTGCTGGGAGCAAAGCTGAAGTTGGAGATGTTGGCACCTATCTTTATCCACTAGAAGGAAAAGAAACAAAACCTGAGTTACAAGACCCTTGTAAACACGAGCTTTTATTTTAAACTTCAGTATCTTTCAAGCTTGTTTGCTTTACGTTCTTCAACAAATACAGTGTATTCTCTACAGAAGCACTTGTTTCCTACTACAAAAGGACAGAGTAATTTTGTGAAAGACAGCACTGTTGAGCTCCTTTAGTGAAATTTCTGCTGCTGCTTCTGACTGACCAAAGGTAGTTCCTCAATTATCTTAAACTGATGAGAGGGTATTGCTATTTCTATCCATCTGAATTAATTTCAATTAAAAAGAGAAAAAAAGGTAAGGTTTTAGTTCTGGACTCAGCAAAAGAACAGCTACAGATACATGACGTGTGCTCATAAAAACAATTTCAGTTTTTAGAGCACAAGAGAAGGGCATGAAGGATGGAAAACAGGAGCAGTAGCAATGAGATTTTTCATTAAAGTGTCATCAACATGTATGTTGTGAACTCCAGAGACCAGTGGACATGACTATCCAAATACCAGCTTTCAGCGAGACTAATGAGAAATTCCTGCCAAGCAAGGGATTGGTTTCATCCTCCAAATAAGGAGTAATTTAACTTGAGCAGATGAGACTTTTGTATTGCATTAAGTTCAAAACACTGATCTGATGACACACTGAGTAGTAGATTTTTCAACGACAGACACACAAATACCAATTATGTCCATAAATGGGAATCTGACAGGATCAAGTAACACAGATGTGATGAATATATTAAGCGTGAGACAGAATCACTACTTTTTTTACCTGTGGAAGTCTAATGTTAGTTATAACTTAATCTGCCCACTGCTATTCAACATCCCTAGCAGAAGCACACTGAAGAAACTCACCCCACCTACTTCTACTTGGCAGCAGCGTTTTGCTGTTTTGACTATAAACTCAAAAACCCCCAACAGTTTAAGAAAGAAACAATACCAGACCAATGCCCTGTGCTGACATTTGCTAGCTACAACTGCAGCACTGCTGTGCTGGTCATGATTAACCAAGGGTTTTAATACAATGTCTAGCTGGCCAACCTCCTAAGGGACCTGGGACTGCACAGGAAAAAATTTTCTTCTTCTGTGGCCCAGTTCACTCACCAGAATGAGCAGCAAAAGCAGAGGGGAGAGAATCAATGCTGTGAAAGTGTTAGATACCACAGTGGGAGGCCTCTTCTCAGGTTCCCTGAAGAGGTGCTGCAAACAAACAAAACCAACTCATAAGTAGGAGTATTCCAACAGAGCAGCTACTCAGATCCCCAGAGGACCAGCTGCAGCCCTGGTGCTGTTCCCAGATGTTCCTCTAGATGATAAAACATTCCTCTTAAGGCAAAGACTGACTCTTTAAAGTAGTGTCTATTCCAGTCTCTGCACATTTGATCTCTTACACAGTTAACTTTTCCTTGCACTCACAGAAGCACTTGTTAGCTTGTCATCAGCACTGATGGCTGGAATGAAGACCAGAGAGCTTTCTGTGGTGCTTATCTAGTCAAACTTAACTGTTTGAATCTTCTCAGTGACACCAGTTGCTCTCTCACAGGTAGTATGCAGCCTATTTATTCATATTCCAGAGGACTGCAACACATTTCTTTCCATTAAGCAGTAACTCTGGTCTTCCTTCAATTACTTTACTTACACAGTACTTTTTTTTTTTTTTAATGAGAGATGGCTTTTCAACAATAAATTACAATGAGAACAAATAGTACTAGTAGGACTAGCCTCCCACCTCCACACATAATTTTTGATTTTGACTCTACCTGGATTTCAGGTTTGGGAACAAAAAGGTTCTTGGACTGGACTGTGGATGGCGCATCCTCTTCTGGGAATTTGATCACAACATCAGCCTGAAATGAAATCAGGGAGCTTCATGAAGTTGGATCTTAATGTACTAAAAATTTTATAAAACCTACTCCATTACTGTAGCCTATTTCCTTGTTTGTAAATCTACAATTGAAATGATTTTTAAAGGAAACCAAGAAAAAGACACCAGATTTTTAAGAAGCAATTTCTCCTCAACAGAGGCAGTAATGCCATTCACCCCTCACTAAGTTAGACTTATTTCCAGCATAGCAAGCACAGAAAGACTAAACCTTGAGGTGCTTGCTGTGAAATTACAATCAAACCCATAACCTTCTGAAGTTGCTGTTCCACCACATGAAGCGAATGTTCGTATCAGTGTTGCTTTGATGCTTAACTTAAAAACTTAAAATGAACAGCAAAACTTAGAGTCTATAAATGGCCAAAAGGATTCTGGTTCACTATAAAGAACAAAGACACTTGAGCTTTTTTTCTTCCAAGCCTGTACCATGCCCTCCTGTTAGACTGCCAGTAATCTCAAACCACACTACCACACTTCCAGCTACATACCACATTCCACAGGATTGGATTTTCCAGAGTGGCATCTCCAATTATCAAGTAAAGAGTGTAGGTACCAGAGGCAGAGTCAAATTCAGTTTTTCTTTCAGAGGTATCCAGTTCAAACTTGTATACATTCTTGCTATCTGGTTCTGCAACAAACACTACCTCCTGGCCAGTCTTTTGGTTGTGAAGTCGGACAAAAGTCTGAAAGGAAAGATAGTAATATTTCTGGAATATCTCAGTGCGTTTACAAATGTCAGCAAAATGAGAGATTTATCCCCAAATCAAAAAGCACAACATTAACAAAAGTTGGGAGTATAAACTGACAGCCCGGGTGTCTAGTTCCACGTCTCTGAGTAACTACATAAACACAGGATCAAGACTGTCCAGTGGCCCACTTGGGTAAAAGGCAATATATTGAATGCTACTCAACAGGGCATGTGCAACAGCAAAAACAATAGGGATGTATGCATTTATGGTTCTTGTTGTCCCCCCGACCTTTTTTTCTATTTTATACAGGAAAAAAAATTTAAAGAAAGTCTAAATTCAAGGACTTTGACTATCAAGCCAGGACAATCAGCAAACAATCTATATTAAAAGAAAATCACAAGTGTGCTTTTACAGTGCAGACTACCTGCACTCACTTTGTTGAGTTAAATAAGACACAGAACTAGAGCCAGAAGAGGCATGATTTAACATACAGCCCAAAGAAATGAAGTGAATCCACTTTCCATTTACCAAGATCAGTGATGTTTCACACTCTGTCAGAAACATAAGGCTTCTCAAAGTCTATCGAATCTTTTCAAGAGCAACTGTCATCTCAGATGCTTCAAGACGGAACATCTCAGTGACACATCAATAGCAAAAATTTGTCCTAACCTGGTGAGGGATGAGTTCAGCTCCACTGTTCACGTCTATCAGCTGGAAGGACAAAGCAAAATTCTGATGGCTGTCAGCAGTGAAGGAGCCCTTGGCTTTGGCTGGGTAAGCTACCCTAGGAGGAAAAAACCAGAACTAAGGTGATCTTCGAAAAGAAGGTCTGGCATTCAAAGAAGCTGAGGCATGCAAGCCTGTCTAGCAGTACTGCAGTCTGGTCAAGCACAGATGAGCTATCTTTTCAATAAGTCAGGTGAACTAGCACATCTTTCTCTTCCACCATAAATCTAATGAAAAGAAATGAATGGAATTTTTAGAAGGATTTTTGTGAGCTACATACCTGGCCCGTTTTCAAGTAAAACAGTAGTTTGTTGTAAGATTCAAAGGAACAGCAGAAGGAGGTTTTTGCTAATACTACGCCCCACATTCCATTTAGCCAAGGCTATGCTACAACCAAAGGTGTGACAGCAGCAGAACAGAAAAAACAGACACTCAAACTTCAGCACAGGAAGGCTGTGTCAACACACACAGAGGGGCCTCAGTGAGGCTGGGCAAGCTAAGTCACATTCTGTACAACTGATGTCAGTTATAAAACTCATTACATTAAGTTCAAGTACACCTAGCAATGGTACAGCCACAGCCTCCAAATGGAGTGTATACGTTGCTTTAGAGCATCTCTACCAAACCCCAATAATACCAAAATTAACACAATTCTTCTAACTTGCTTTTGCTATGGAGAGGTGCCAACAAAGGAAGAGAAGACTTGGGTTGCCTGGCTTGTTAGTGCTTCAATACTAAGGAAAACCACCTACAAAAATAATCAGTATTCTCCAAATGAACACACGGGTTTAAGAGAAACAGCATAGGTATAACTCTGTAGTTATTCCAATACAACATTCCTTTGCTTTAGCTGAAGTAGGTAAAGCTCAGAAGACCTCCAGCCTAGAGCCAGAGTTGCCCATTAAGAGATCACACACCCCGAGTTGTTTTACCTGGTTGTTTTGGGCGCAATGCTCTGATCTTTATCCACAGTAGAAAGATCTACATTGGTAATCCCAACTTCTGTGGAAACTTTTACTTTCAGCTGCAACAAAGCACAACAGAAAGTTACTCAGGGCACTCTACATATACTAATTACAGTTAAATTCACTGCAGAAGCTTTAGCTCTTCTGTCCCCTTCCCCAAAGAGGGAACCTGAACTGAACAGAAGTATCTACAGCAATTTACCTTCCAACAAGGCTCCTGCATCAGTCTCAAACCCCAACCCATCCCCTTCCTCCCTGCAGAAGCAGCCAGCTCGGAAGACACCAGTTTCTCAGTCACGTTGGAGCTTGGAGAACTGTTTTTAATGGAACAGTCCAACTAAGGGCAGCTATCCAGATCCAACTAGTTTTCCTTTTAAACTAGCAGAAACTAGCTATTAAAGATTCCATCACATATAATACAACTTAAAACTGCACATGCACATGTACTTCTGCTTACGGGATAGACATTTGAGACGAGAGAGGTCTCTGGACAGCAACCAGTTATGCCTTTGTTGGCTCCTAAAGCCTAACAGGTTTCTGCTGATTTTACTACCAGCAGGCAAAATCCAAAGCATTCCT